TAGTATGCAAAGTCATGGAGAAGATTATCAGAAGAGCGGTGGAGCACCTAGAAAGGAATGAGCTTATCAACGACAGCCAGCACGGTTTCAGAGACGGGAAATCCTATGTCACAAACCTACTGGAGTTCTATGACATGGTGACAGCAGTAAGACAAGAGGGAGAGGGGTGGGTAATTGCATTTTCATGGACTGTAAGAAGGCGTTTGACACAGTTCCACATAAGACATTAGTGCAAAAGCTGGAGGACCAAGCAGGGATAACAGGGAAAGCACTGCAGTGGATCAGGGAATACCTGTAAGGAAGACAACAGCGGGTCATGGTACGTGCCGAGATGTCAGAGTGGGCGCCTGTGACGAGCGGGGTGCAACAGGGGTCAATCCTAGGACCGGTGCTGTTTCTGGTTGATGAGAAGAATTAAATCGGACGAGGACCAGGCAGAACTACAAAGGGATCTGGACAGACTGCAGACCTGGTCCAGCAAGTGACTCCTGGAGTTCGACCCCACCAAGTGCAATGTCATGAAGATTGGGGAAGGGCAAAGAAAACAGCAGATGGAGTACATTCTAAGTGGCTAAAGACTACAAACCTCACTCAAGGAAAAGGATCTTGGGGTGAGTATAACACCGGGCACATCTCCTGAGACGCACATCAACCAAATAACTGCTGCAGCGTATGGGCGCCTAGCAAACCTAAGAACAGCATTCCGATATCTTAATAGGGAATCGTTCAGGACCCTGTACACTGTGTGCGTTAGGCCCATATTGGAGTATACAGCACCAAGTTGGAACCCACACCTACCCAAGCACGTAAGGAAACTAGAGAAAGTGCAAAGGTTTGCAACAAGACTAGTCCCGGAGCTGAGGGGTATGTCCTACTGGGGGGAAGTTAAGGGAAATCGACCTGACGACACTAGAGGACAGGAGAGATAGGGGGGATATGATAACGACATATAAAATATTGAGAGGAATCGACAAGGTGGACAGAGACTGGATGTTCCAGAGATGGAACACAGCAACAAGGGGTCACAGTTGGAAGTTGAAAACTCTGATGAATCACAGGGATGTTAGGAAGTATTTCTTCAGTCACAGAGTTGTCAGGAAGTGGAATAGTCTGGAAAGTGATGTAGTGAAGGCAGGATCCATACATAACTTTAAGAAGAGGTATGATAAAGCTCATGTAGCAGGAAGTGACCTAGTAGCAGCCAGTGTAAAGGCGGGGCCAGGAGCTGTGAATCGACCCGTGCAACCATAACTAGGTGAATACACTTGAACTAGGAATGATAATGCAAAGACAAAATTAGAAAAGAAAAATATTTAAAAAATAACAACAGCAACACTGGTCAAAAGAGAATTGAAGGTGATAAAGTCACAAAAGATGGACGAAGTGAGTAAGGAACCAGGCAACAAGACCCGATGAGAGGAGTAAAAATGATAAAGATGACAGAGAAGTAAGTGCCCCCCCCCCAAATAAAAAAAATCTTTACCAAGAAATCAGGAAAAACTCCACGAGGAAGAGACGGGATATGCAGCAAAACTCGAGGAAATTAGTTGACAAGAGAAATGAAAAGATAGTGAAGGAAGTTAGATACAATACAGTGAATGGGATGAAGTAAGAGATCACCTTGGGTATTGTACTATGCAGTCCCATAACGAAATTTTACACTATGCTAGTAACACCAGGGCAACTGCCACACGGCTGGAAAATTGGAAATATGACCCTAACATATAAAAAGAGAAACACGAAGTATTGAAGTATAAGCAGTGTTACTGACAGGCATACTGTATAATCTACCGGAAAAGATAATAATGGCTAAGATACTAGAAAAGAAAATATTCCTCAAATATAATAACAAAAAAGGCACAATACCGTGACTGGAACGATACACTAATAACCCGCACATAAAAGAGAGGAGCTTACGACGACATTTCGGTCCGACTTGGACCATTTACAGTCACTTAAAAATGTGATATAATGAAAAAGAAGGAAACGGAGGTTCAGAGACGACAAATCATGCTTTACGTATTTTCTCCAATTTACAGTTCTGTGACAGACTAGCGTAAAATAAGGGAAAGACAGCGACAGGTAAGCTGCCTTATCTTAGGTTACAACACGGCAAGGAAACACAAGGAGTAACAGACAAGGTGAAAGTGGATAAAAAAATATAGAAGGAAGACGGTAATTCTCATTAGAGCGGAGGGATGTAAGGTGTTTAACGGTGACGAAGGGAGTGTCGCAAGGATCACTCTTGGTATTCCAGATATTTCTGATGTACAATAATGGCCTGTCTGAGGGAAAAAATGTGTTATATAAATAGTTTGTGTCATTGTTTGCTGTCGACGTTAATGAGAAAAACAGCAAGAGAGAACAATGTGGGACTTCAAGATTGCTAGACAGATTGCAGATGCAATGAGGGAGTGTGACTATTAGCACTAAATCCTGATAAGTGCAAATGAGAAAAGGGTTGGAAAAAAAAAAACTATGGAATATGGGCCAGGAAAAGGAACTGGAGAAAACGTTTAAGGAAAAAGAGGTTGGAGTAAGCAACGCACCGAACATATTACCAGAAGCACATATCTACTGTATAAGTTCCAAATGCATATGAAAAACTAGCTTATCTGGAACTGCTTTCAGGAACCTCAAGAGGACATGATACACAGAGCCAACATCCGATGATGTATGTATAGAATCTTGAGAAAAATTCAAGTTCCTCCAGTGGTGTGGACCACCATACACCAAGTGAGTGGAAACCATCAGGGTGTGAGGGTGAGAGAGTGACAGAATGAACGTGAGAACATACGTGTAAGGATGTGTATGAATGAAAGGTGCGAGTTTAAAGGCTTAGGTGTCAGTGTTACCATGAGAGTGTGAATGTGAATGTTGGAATGAGTGAGTGTGTGTAACAGAGGTGTGACTGTGCAAGTGTAAAAAAAAAAATCGGGGTGAGTGTGAGTAATAAGAGTGACATACCAGTACAACAACACACTAACAACACTCACAACGCTAAAATGGTGAAGGACAAAAGAAAATAATCCCAACAATACTAGAGAATTTGCCCATGACGGAAATAAAAAAAAAAAAGTCATTGCGGGAAAAAAAAGAAAGTTTTCGTGCATATATAAGAGTACTGAACCGTCAAAATACAATACACAGCTGCCAGTGGTAACCTTTAAAGGACTGACGATAGAGAGAGAGCTTGTGACCTACCCACCTGTGAAGGCCTCTTGATCCAGGGAGCTGGAGTCACTCTCCCTTTCCTCGGATCAACACTAATTACTTCTACTTCCCCCCATTAATATATATTTATCATATATATATATATATATATATATATATATATATATATATATATATATAATATAATAACCAGAGCAACAAACGGACCTGTTGAACGCCTCTCAACAGAGGAGAACTGAGCGTTATGGATGCCTTTGAAAAGCACTTGATCCAGGGAACTGGAGCCACCTACTCCGCTTCCACGAATCAGCCCCCGATTGCCTTTTATCCCCGGGCTGTCACCTCTAACCAGAATATTACAAATTTAATTATTAATAATTATGCGGAAGCGCTAAACCCGTAAGGACGGAAGATAATTAGATCGTATCGGAAAAGGAGGCTAGCTCCACGTCCTTGGATCAAGAGTATCTCAACAAAGCATTTTGACTCAAGGTATAATTATCAATAATGGTTATGCAAATGGATGCCGATTATTATTCTTAATAATTATGATGCTTATTTAATAGAATTATAATTATTATTATTATTATTATTATTATGTGCTATATATTTGTGTTAACTTACAGTAACTGTTATATACACATGTTAATTTTCCATTAATTCTCTTCTGCAGTTAGCATCCACAGTCTATTGTTGTCTGTTATAAAATGCAATTATACCAACATTGTCTATAATGCTCTTAATTTAATTTGAGTCTATAATTATTCCCAATAATCTGCTTGTACTACACCTCACTTCTAATTATAGCTTAATGCCCCCCCCCTCCATTACTCAGCAGCACCACAACTGCTGATAATACATTTTACTGATTAGATAATTAGGGGTGTTTAGATTCTACTCCCTCCTTTCTTTCCTTCCTTCCCCCCACCTCGCTTATGCTTACATATTCTCAAAGACTATCCTTTCCATCTCTACTACACTAGGCTCAATCATAGAGCTTACTTCCCCTTTCCATCCTCTACGTAGCCTCGTACTTTCTACTGGGCAATTCCTTCATATATATATATATATATATATATATATTATATATATATATATATATATATATATATATATATATATATATATATATATATATATATATATATATATATATACATATATATATATATATATATATAATATATATATATATATATATATATATATATATAATATATATATATATATATATATATATATATATACATATATATATATATATATATATATAATATATATATATATATATATATATATATATATATATATATATATATTATATATATATATATATATATATATATATATATATATATATATATATAATATATATATATATATATATATATATATATATATATATATATATATATATATATTATATTGTTGTGTGTGTGTGTGTGTGTGTGTGTGTGTGTGTGTGTATGAAAAGCAACCACTGTGTAAAAAATAATGTTCCTTGATAATGTGAGAAATCACGAAAGCTCTTGGAATTCTACTATTTTTTTCACAGTGGCTGTTCTGCATATTGTGATATCACCTGTTTACTGTGATCCTATTTATTTTTTGTTTTGTTTTACCCCCTCTGCTTCTGTTCCGTTTATCTGCATCTCTCACTTTTGTGATTTATTCCTGACCTGTTTTATATCCCAGCTGCATATTATATTTTCTTTCTTTATCCCCCTCTGTAACTTTGTTCACTCTGTGCATATTGCATGTTATTCCCTGACTGTCTCTCTCCTTGTCCTTTAATGGCTGACATCCAACGAAGATTTGATACTAACCAAAATTCGTGGTAACTCGTTTCTCTGCTGCTGTAAAGCAATAGAACACATCTATAACCCTTCAGGTCTGGCTTTACCAACTCAAGTATAAAAAAATGACAAAATACACAAGAGGAAAGCAGAAGGCCAAAATTGTAAACACCAGTTAAGGTGACTTAAGATATAATGTAAGTGCACCCCAATATTTGGTCGACTTGAGGACACTGACAGTTATAACTGTCAGAACACCCAATGTTTGGTCGACTTGAGAACACTGACAGTTGCTCTACGAGAATACCCAACATATTAAGACTTGAGCTCCTTCGAGCGGATGATGCCTTGAAGCTGGCGAAAGGCTCTTGATCCAAGGAACTGAAGTTTACCTATCCTTTCCTCGGATCAAGTCTCTTACTACCCTTCTAGGCGCTGCAAGACCCCTACGAGTCTAGCGCTTCCCCGTGAATCAAGAAACTGGGTGCTTCTTTGGGATCTTTCTCAAGAGAACTAGCAGTGATTTTTCCTCTTTCTTGAGCGGCAAGTGCCCTTAAAATATAGCACAATTATATATATATATATATTTTTCAATGCCCACAAGGCCTATTTTCAACTCCTTACTGAAAGTAATTAATTAATGATTTTGTGTGCTGCTGTTAAGTTTATTGCTTTAATTTACCTACCAATGTTGTGGGTTATATTCAATTTGGCAAAGAAATTGTTACAAGTTGAACATGCTACAAAAAAAAAAGGTTGATAAAAGACACGGATATGCCTGAAATTGATTAATGGATATAAGCCTTCACACACACACATACACACACACACACACACACACACACACACACACACACACACACACACACACACACACACACACACACACACACATTGCTAGTCTAAATGTTCTATCTACAGTCTACCAAAACCCACCAGCAATGCACTGTCACTGACTCCAAAAATATATCTTTCTACTTGTATATGTACATCCTCATACGCAACAATGCACACGAGGGCCTTGCAATAATGGCGCCAGCAACATCGGAAATTTGGGGAAAACTTTAAAGACAATTTATGTAACTATTGTTGCATGACGTGACTTACATATGTTGACACAGCAATTGTTGCATGCTGTGACTCGCATATATTGACAACAATTATTACATGCTGTCACTCGCATATGTTGACACAGCAATTTCTGCATGCTGTGACTCACATATCTTCACCTAACAACCTCCATTTTTTCCCTTTTCCTCGTCACATTTCATTTCTAATTTCACCTCCCTGCCCCACCCCAGTAAACTACTGCCCCCCCCCCCTCCCTCTAAATGCTGGTCTGTATACTTCACACTAAACATCCCTATGCCTTCCTTCCTCTTCACAACTTGCCTATTACCTATTTATGGTCCCTGTCCTCTTAGCTCACCTTATACAGAAGAACCTAACATTATTCTTTTGATCGACCTGTTATCTGTCACGTGTTATGATCCGCTAGCCTAACTCTCCTTACCTACTCTCACTTTTCCTGCTACCCCACCTACCCAGATAAGCTAGCTTCCCCTATAAGCACAGTTCCCTCAAAGTGAATGATGTGGTGGCGCCGAAAAGATGTGGAAAAAGAAATGCGCATTTTAGAACATTTATTATACGTGTCGCCACGAGTGGCTTCTCCAGCCGTCCTGAAAAGCCCCTCATGGCGAAACGTTTCCTTCAATGTCCTGAAGTGTGCACGAGTGTCTCTTTCCACACCCCCTCAATCCTGGGGTGTTGGTGGGGAGGTGTCGAATGTGTTGAGGGGTGAGGCAGGGAGGGGAAGTGAGAGTAGCTACTTACCCCTATAATAGAGTTGAGCTCAGTCATGGTCACCTGCTTCGCTCTCTCGATCGCTGCCGCCACCTGCTGCTGGTGCTGCCGGAGAAAGGTGCAGTTAGTGAAGGTGATAGTGGTGATGGTGATGAGGGGTGATGGTGAGGAGGGGTGATGGTGAGGAGGAGGATGTAGGGGGGGAGGGGGGTAAGGAAAGCACCGGCAGCAGCAGCAGCAGCAGCGGCAGTGAGATGGTGGTGGTGATGGTGATGAAGAGGAGAAAGAGCAGATGCTGGTGATGGAGAAAATGTTGATGATGCTGAAGATGGAGAAAATGTTGGAGATGATGTTGGTGATGGGTAAGAATGTCTGAGAGATGATCACAGTACGCAAAATGTGGAGTTAAATTGAAAGGAGATAAGTGCTGAGAGAAAATTATGGAGAAATGCTAGAGAATCGGAGAAAATGTTGGAGATACTGTTTGTAATGGAGTAAATGTTGAGACTACCAGTAGCCAAAAATTGTTAGCATTAAAACAGATGGAGATAAGGAAGAGAGATTGAGAGGAAAGAGAGTAGAGTAGTAGAGAGAATTGGAAATTGTGAAGACGTAATTCATAGTTTGCCACAATGGCAGTTAACTTTACCATGTCAGGGTACTGTAGGACAGAGATAAGAGAAGAGAGAGATGGAAGACATTGGGAAAAGGCATAGAGTATATGTTTGCTCCGAAAGGCTATTTACTGCACAGGGAGGTAGCAAGAGAAGAGCATAGGATATAGAAAGGCAATAGACTAGTGCCCCGAAAGGATTAACAGGAGTAGCAGAGAGAGCATTAATAAAAAGCTTGGCAATAGAAGGCCTAGGAGCTAGGCTCCGAAAGGATTAACAGGAGTAGCAGAGAAGAGCATTTAATAAAAAGCTTTGCAATAGACCTTGTTATCAAGGAAGCTACGACTGGAAGAGGCTGAGATTGTTAGGGTAAAATGACTCGGTAAGGTGAACGCAAGTGATGGGCGGAGAATGTAACATATAGAAAAAGACAGACACGCTAATGTAAAATGTAACGTTTGTGTGTCCTTTCAGGTGTTGGAATAGAGGAGATACAGTGACTTGTGAGGCATATCTCAACGTATGCCTCTCAGTGAGGGATGAGAGGGATACTTTGCGGCATACCTCGGTCCCCACCTGCATATCGTAATTCAGTGGAGTTTCTGTCAGGTTTTGCAAACATTTAAAGAGATAACATCCAGGGAAGGGAGGTATGTTTCAAGGTATATCTCAAGATATGCTTGAAGGAATGTTTCAAGATATACCTCACAGGCTACAGTATAGTAGAAGTCATCAGTGTTTAATTTAAACCTTTATTATACACCTCATCTCCATCCTGCGTGAGGCAGTCAAAAGATGAGACACAGTGACTCCAGGGACTCACCATCACGAATGTTTCTCATCACATTGTATATTTCTCACCGGCAGCGCTGTATGACCTTTGTGGGTTTAGCGCTTGGTTTGGATTATAATAATATACACTTCTCTCCATATAAATCAACCCCAGAAAAAAAATAAGACCATATAATCAACATCGTAATTTTTATGTATTGTGAGCCGGAGAATGTGCATAGTTTATATTATTTATCTCAGTCTTCCATTTATCTCACAGTTAATCTCAATTCTCCTGTATTTACGTTGATGAGAATTGGTTAAATTATGTATATTAAGGTGGTTAAGTAAAGGGCTTAATAAGGTATAAGGTAATGTAATGAATCTCAGTGAGTGAAAAACTTGTTATAAGTGTATTTATATTACCGGCTTAGTAAAGTATTACTATACGGAATAAGAATTTTGGAATTCACCTGCTTTTGTTAAAACAGTCGCTGGAGTGCAACTTCTTGTGTACTGACTACCAAGTACCAAATATAAGGTAATTACACTGGATACTTTGATTTTCTTCCTTGAGGAGGTAAGAACTCAGTGAAAAAATAAAATTGCTACGTTATACCTGACACATGATACTTGGAGGTGATGACGATGATGATGGTGGTTATGGTGATGGGGAAACATGATACTTGGAGGTGATGACGATGATGATGGTGGTTATGGTGATGGGGAAACGTGATACTTGGAGGTGATGACGATGATGATGGTGGTTATGGTGATGGGGAAACATGATACTTGGAGGTGATGACGATGATGATGGTTATGGTGATGGGGAAACATGATACTTGGAGGTGATGACGATGATGATGGTGGTTATGGTGATGGGGAAACGTGATACTTGGAGGTGATGATGGTGGTTATGGTGATGGGGAAACGTGATACTTGGAGGTGATGACGATGATGATGGTGGTTATGGTGATGGGGAAACATGATACTTGGAGGTGATGACGATGATGATGGTGGTTATGGTGATGGGGAAACGTGATACTTGGAGGTGATGACGATGATGATGGTGGTTATGGTGATGGGGAAACATGATACTTGGAGGTGATGACATGATGAGTGGTTATGGTGATGGGGAAACATGATACTTGGAGGTGATGACGATGATGATGGTGGTTATGGTGATGGGGAAACGTGATACTTGGAGTGATGACGATGATGATGGTGGTTATGGTGATGGGGAAACGTGATACTTGGAGGTGATGACGATGATGATGGTGGTTATGGTGATGGGGAAACATGATACTTGGAGGTGATGACGATGATGATGGTGGTTATGGTGATGGGGAAATGATACTTGGAGGTGATGACGATGATGATGGTGGTTATGGTGATGGGGAAACATGATACTTGGAGGTGATGACGATGATGATGGTGGTTTATGGTGATGGGGAAACGTGATACTTGGAGGTGATGACGATGATGATGGTGGTTATGGTGATGGGGAAACGTGATACTTGGAGGTGATGACGATGATGATGGTGGTTATGGTGATGGGGAAACATGATACTTGGAGGTGATGACGATGATGATGGTGGTTATGGTGATGGGGAAACAGTGATACTTGGAGGTGATGACGATGATGATGGTGGTTATGGTGATGGGGAAACGTGATACTTGGAGGTGATGACGATGATGATGGTGGTTATGGTGATGGGGAAACTGATACTTGGAGGTGATGACGATGATGATGGTGGTTATGGTGATGGGGAAACGTGATACTTGGAGGTGATGACGATGATGATGGTGGTTATGGTGATGGGGAAACGTGATACTTGGAGGTGATGACGATGATGATGGTGGTTATGGTGATGGGGAAACGTGATACTTGGAGGTGATGACGATGATGATGGTGGTTATGGTGATGGGGAAACGTGATACTTGGAGGTGATGACGATGATGATGGTGGTTATGGTGATGGGGAAACGTGATACTTGGAGGTGATGACGATGATGATGGTGGTTATGGTGATGGGGAAACATGATACTTGGAGGTGATGACGATGATGATGGTGGTTATGGTGATGGGGAAACATGATACTTGGAGGTGATGACGATGATGATGGTGGTTATGGTGATGGTGAAACATGATACTTGGAGGTGATGACGATGATGATGGTGGTTATGGTGATGGGGAAACATGATACTTGGAGGTGATGACGATGATGATGGTGGTTATGGTGATGGGGAAACATGATACTTGGAGGTGATGACGATGATGATGGTGGTTATGGTGAAACATGATACTTGGAGGTGATGACGATGATGATGGTGGTTATGGTGATGGGGAAACATGATACTTGGAGGTGATGACGATGATGATGGTGGTTATGGTGATGGGGAAACATGATACTTGGAGGTGATGACGATGATGATGGTGGTTATGGTGATGGGGAACGGGTAAGTGCCATTGGTTATGATGGTGGGGTGAGATAGGATCATCAAGCATTTATTGAAGTATTATTTAGTTTGGATAATAATAATGAGACTACAATTTATAGACAGGATTTCTGGTGTGTGAGTTACCAGGTGTCAAGGGGACTTGTCGATAAACATCTGACCTCTGTGTGTGTGTGTATCTACACACACACACACACACACACACACACACACACACACACACACACACACACACACATACTCTTTGCTACTCTCCTGGCTCAAATAATTCCTACCTTAGTCTCAGGGAAATCCTAAACAACTTTGGTACAATAAGAATACATTAAGTAGTCATTCAAACACAAAAGAACCATTAAAACAATCAACTGAAATTAGAACGATCAAGTGTCATTAGAATGGCCCACGCGGTTTTAGCGCTTCACATAGCTGTAAGTTAAACTAGACGTATTTCGGACGCTGCGCGATCCCATGAAAGTATCCCCGTATTCCATAACTCCAGCCCCCTGTACCTCAACGAGCGCGACTGGAATAGTGCAGAGTGCGACATACGTTGATAATTCAGTAAAATATTAGTACTGAAGATTGGAAGGGAATCAGAAGAGGCATTCACGAATCATTATACGGAATCTAATATTAATTTTTTCATTAAAAATGCTCAATTCCGACATACCCAGACCAAATCTAATTCAAACCTTTCAAAGAGACCAAAATCTTAACATGCACAACCAATTTAAGGTTCAAGTTATATTATCAAGTCATCAGAATCGAAGGATTGAAGTTAAATCATAGATGCGACACTTAAAAATTATCGACTGATAATTTTTCGACTTACAACAATGCAAACTGTGAGCTACACATGCTGAAATTAGCCCAAGCCTTTCTCTAAGAAAAAATGACCAGCTTTAAAGAAAGTAACAGTGGTTTTGAGGGCACACAGATCTTAATTAAGTTTATTTAACCTAAGATAACCAAATAAGGGATTTATTTCTTTTCAGAAGAGTCTTTTTCCAATTATTTCACACACACAAAAAAATTGATTAATAAAATTAGCACATGATAACTTAGACAACTTGACAAAATGAGATTGTTTCCTGTGAGGAAAACACATCAACACAAGTTGAAAAGTGTGCCAGTTTAACTAATCAAACTGTTTTCTGTGGAATGATTGTAGAATGTCTTCTGATTGGTAATAAGTCATACTGTTTAACTATATCTTAGGTTAAATCTTTTATGATAATCTTAGGCTAAATCTTTTTTGATAATGAATGGAACATTGTCTCCCATTTTCCCAGACGTTCACTCTTGAAGATGTTCTTATAATAATAATAATAATAACAATAATAATTATTATTATTATTTCTACAAGTACATATACATGTATAACGTGTACAGGCCTCGCTGACATCAATGACATACTACTATATAGAAAACCCCTTGTTTTGCAGAACATTTCGGGCAAATTAGGTCAATTTTGTCCCAGGATGCGACCCACACCAGTCGACTAACACCCAGGTACCCATTTTAGTGATGGGTGAACACTGGACAGCAGGTGTCTTAAGGAAACACGTACCGCGGATCGACCTCCCCCCCTCACCACAGTATGTGAGCTGAGTGCGATAGCGATGTCCATGAATATAATAATAATAAATAATAATAATAATAATAATAATAATAATAATAATAATAATGCAAATTTCCTAAAAGATGGCTCGGTTGAACTGGGAAAACGGATTGACAGATGGATGATGGAAATTAATTGAGAAGCGCCATGTAGTGGAAACAGGAGAAAGAGATGACAGGCCACATGACGAAACCAATTTCGTGATAAGATAGTGAAATAATCAGACTGAAAGCGGGATCTAGGAATAATTTTCAGACAAAAGAAAAAAAGACTGATATCGGATGATCCGATTCTATATATATTGGATCGACATAACCTTTACATATATAGATTGGATAGGCAGATGCTAAAAACTCTGTTCACAACGTACGTTAGGCCAAAATTGCAATAAGCAGCTGTAGAGTGTTGTCTGCACCTAAAAGGAAAGAAAGGTAGATAAGATAAAAGAAGAGAGTGCCAAAACATGATACAACATGGCTCACATGTAAGCAAATATGAGTTAGGAAGAAAGGGTGAAATGTTCTCACTGGCTGACAGCAGGGTGAAATGTTCTCACTGACTGACAGCAGGGTGAAATGTTCTCACTGGCTGACAGCAGGGGAAATAGAGGAGACATGATTACATACAAAATCATAAAAATATACGAGGAAATGTATGAAGAAGATTCCTTAGTCAAAAAAAGAGAACAAGACACAATTCAGGATTGAAAAGGAACACACACACACACACACACACACACACACACACACACACACACACACACACACACACAACACACACACACACGCACACACACAAGAATCAGAAAAGGTCGGGCCAGGAACTATGACATAATTCCTACAAACCTAACAAGGTTCATCAATCTAATAATAAAAACACACAACGCACCCAAATGAGCTGCAGGGAAGCCAGCAGACATTTCTTTAACATGTGAGTAACTAAGAAGTAGAATGACCTGAGCAATGACACACAGAATACTTAACACCACTGGACCACACAATGATGGTCTACTTAACACTACTGGACCACACAATGATGGTCTACCTCACACTACTGGACCACACAATGATGGTCTATCTCACACTACTGGACCACACAATGATGGTCTACCTCACACTACTGGACCACACAATGATGGTCTACCTCACACTACTAGACCACACAATGATGGTCTACCTCACACTACTGGACCACACAATGATGGTCTACCTCACACTACTGGACCACACAATGATGGTCTACCTCACACTACTGGACCACACAATGATGGTCTACTTAACACTACTGGACCACACAATGATGGTCTACCTCACACTACTGGACCACACAATGATGGTCTACTTAACACTACTGGACCACACATACTGACCTTTATGTGGGAATGATATCCTGAGCAGAGGATCAGGGAAAGAAGGAAGAGGTGATTTTCACTTACACTTTCCGTATCAGGTTACAGGTTCAACTTGATACATACAGTAAGAGATACACATCTTTCATGGTACATACACTGTGTGTGTAGGTATGTATGTCGTGCCGAATAGGTAAAACTTGCTATTTTGGCTTAAATATCAATGTTCTTCTTGCCGAATAAGGTAAACGAAAATTTGTGTATGCAATAATTTCCCAAAAATCATTCTGAACCTAACGAAAAAAATATATATTTCATTGTTTGTTCATTATTAAATTATTGTAAACTTATCTAAAATATATTTAGTTGGATTAGGCTAAATTAAATTGAGCTTGTTATAATAAGATTAGGTAAATTTTCTAAGGTTCTTTTGGTACAAAATTACTATTTTTTACATTAACATAAATGAAAAAAATATATCTTTAAACGTATAAGAGAAAGGACTTTCTTGCTAACTTACCAGTTTTATCTATTCGGCACTTCAATATATATATATATATATAATATATATATATATATATATATATATATATATATATATATATATGTTTGTTTGTTTTTATTATCACACCGGCCGATTCCCACCAAGGCAGGGTGGCCCGAAAAAGAAAAACTTTCACCATCATTCACTCCATCACTGTCTTGCCAGAAGGGTGCTTTACACTACAGTTTTTAAACTGCAACATTAACACCCCTCCTTCAGAGTGCATGCACTGTACTTCCCATCTCCAGGACTCAAGTCCGGCCTGCCGGTTTCCCTGAATCCCTTCATAAATGTTACTTTGCTCACACTCCAACAGCACGTCAAGTATTAAAAACCATTTGTCTCCATTCACTCCTATCAAACACGCTCACGCATGCCTGCTGGAAGTCCAAGCCCCTCGCACACAAAACCTCCTTTACCCCCTCCCTCCAACCCTTCCTAGGCCGACCCCTACCCCGCCTTCCTTCCACTACAGACTGATACACTCTTGAAGTCATTCTGTTTCGCTCCATTCTCTCTACATGTCCGAACCACCTCAACAACCCTTCCTCAGCCCTCTGGACAACAGTTTTGGTAATCCCGCACCTCCTCCTAACTTCCAAACTACGAATTCTCTGCATTATATTCACACCACACATTGCCCTCAGACAAGACATCTCCACTGCCTCCAGCCTTCTCCTCGCTGCAACATTCATCACCCACGCTTCACACCCATATAAGAGCGTTGGTAAAACTATACTCTCATACATTCCCCTCTTTGCCTCCAAGGACAAAGTTCTTTGTCTCCACAGACTCCTAAGTGCACCACTCACTCTTTTTCCCTCATCAATTCTATGATTCACCTCATCTTTCATAGACCCATCCGCT